TTCACGCTGCAGTGAGTGCCCTTTTCACATGAGCTTGCTGGGAAACACACCAGCACACGCAGGGAAAAGGCAGGTCAGAAAGCAAGTCCTTCCTCTGGTGACAAAGGTCACCGGGCCGTTCTTCCCAAGCACCCGAGTGTGTTCCGCACCTGGAAGAGGGGGCAGGTCGTCTGTGTTGACACTGAGCAGCTTTGGCCACACTTTGCACCGGATCTCATCCGTGAGGAGCCCGCCCTCGCTGATCGCCATCCGCCTCAGCGCCGCCACGTCGATGGGGTCACTGTTCAGAGCCTGGTAAATCTCTGCCACCTTTCTTTTCTTCTTAGCATCGAAGTCTGCAGGGAGATCACAGAGATGGGAACTGACAGGCAGTGCCTGTGCACGGCGCCAGCGAGTAACAGCCACTCACAACAATGTCACACACAAGGGAGATGACACAGGGCAGTTGTCACTGTCACATGCCCTGCCGAGCCAGGACTGACCCTGGCGGTGAATCTCCAGCTGAGTGTTCCCATCTCTGCAGGCTCAGCATCGGGGGCACCTCATAGCCAGCCCGGAACTGCTTCCCTATGAACCCCTGTGGGAGGCCAACGCTGCTCCTCCTGACATGGGAGCCACCAGCACTGCCCAAACGGCCTCAGCTCCCTCTTCCCCAGCGGATCACAGCTCCATGCGGGACAGGGACAGCCCTGCAAAGCCATCCTGCAACTGTTTGCCCTCTGACGTGGCTGCCAGCTCAGGTGTCAAGTGTTTCCTAAGAGCAGGACTTAGGGAGGTGTTCTAAAAAGATTAGGACAGCGCTCCCAAAACTGTGTTCCTACTGACTCCTGGGTGCAGCCATCCTAGGGAGAAGCCTGAGCATTTCCACAGACACAAGAAAGGACATCGTTATACCAGAGTTAACCAGTCACAAGCATGTTGACTTCTCTTCCAACAAACACAAACCTGCCAGCTACCAGTGCACACAGCTTAGCCAGCAGAAAACAATTCCCACTGTTTTGAGGAGCACAGGAACTCGAGGCAGGGAGGGGGAAGGGGGTGACACACAAAGCACACGGTGCTGGGGATAGACACACTTACAGGACACCAGAGCGCTGCCCAGGGAGCGGAGAAGGGACACTATTTCACACCACATGGTGGAATTTGTCACCGCTGCCTCATGTGAGGAAGGAGAGAGGCGGCCCAGAGCCACCCGATATCCCACACCGATATCCCACACCGGAGGAGTTCCCAGCAAGGAGGCTCTGCTGAGCAGCTGCGAGGCTGGAGCACAGGATGAGGCCACAAACACTGCCTCTCCCCAAAGGCTTTTCCCACAGATGCAACGACTCTTAGGCTCCAAACGGGATTCGCTCGATAAAGGGACGTGTCCAAATAGGGTTTGGGGTGGGAGGAATTAAAAGGATTCCGATGGAGAAACAGCTGTTTCCCAAGGCCGCGCCCTCCCGGCAGCGATCAGGGAGCGCGTTCCTCTGCCCACGTGGCACCTCAGCGCTGCCCTGGCCCTCTCCCTGCGAGATCCTGGCTGGAAGTGCCGCTCTCCGCGGGGTCGGGAGGGAGCCGGCGGGTCGCCAGGCTGCTCACGCACACGGGCGGTAAGTAGGTCGAGCAGTGGATGCTGTTCCCTCTCAAAGACCCTTTTTAAACACTTCTTGGATCAAAACAAGCTGTAACAGCCTAGGACAGAGCTCCACCTCCCTCCGAATTCCAAGTTCCTGGTAACATTGAATCTCCTATCGCTTACCCAGCCACCACAGTTTCCTTTTATTTCCTTTCCCGCCCCTTGAGCAAGCAGAGTTATTTGCACAACAGAAGCCAGCTCGGCTCGTCCGGTTCCCTATTCCCAGCCAGTTCCCCACCCCCAGTTGTTCCCGATCCCCTGCCACACACTGGGCTGTCATATCCCTGTCATATCCCGACGTCTCGGGAAGGAGAAGACAAAGCCTATGGGAGACAAAACTCCTGTTCACACACAAAGAACTTGAGGAGTAGTGGGGAGGAAGGAGAACGTCTTGCGGGCTCCTCCTCTCAGGCTTACTGACAAATACCCCAACGTTTACACTTTTCAAAGGTAGAGCTGCAAGTATTAAAAAAAAATGTATTTCAAAAACATGTTTTGTGTAGGCAGAAGACCTTAACTGGCAGGTTCATACTTGGAGCTGAGGGCGCGGGGTTTTTATTGTCCCGAAACTCGGACTGGCCAGTCCCAATCCCGGGTGGGTCTGTCGGTGCTCCTGCAGCCAAAGGCAGCGAGAGGAGCAGCGCTGCGGGCACTGGGCACCGACACAAGGCCGGGCCAGCCCCGGCGCTGCCGCAGAGCCCCCGCTCACTGCCGGGAGCGCCCGGGGACCCGGCTCGTATCAGGCAGCGCCAACCGCGCCCGGCCGCTCCCGCCCGCCCGAGCCCGCGGCGGCCACAGAGCCGCGGAGCGGGCCCGGCCCTTCGCTCGGGCCCCGGGCCCGCCCGGATCCTCCGGGACACCCCCGGTTCTCCCGCCGGGGCGAGAGCGGCACCGGCCCCGCCCCGCCGCCAGGGGGCGCCGCCGCTCCCACAGGGGGCGCTCCAGCCCCCGCCCCCTCAGCGGAGCCACCGCCCCCCGCCCGCCGGGCCCAGCGCGTACCGTGGCCGCCGACGCCGTTGCGCGGCGGGCTCTGCCGGGCCATGTTCCCGGGCGCTGCGGCGCATTCCGGGCCGGACGCCGGGCCGGGCCGGGGCTCCGCGCTGCCCGCGCCGTCCGGTCCCGTCCTGCCCCCGCCCGCTCCCCCCGCCCCCCGCCCGCCGGCGCGCGGGCGGGACGTCACGGCGCGGCATTGCGCAGGCGCGGCACCTCCAGGCGGGTCGCGCGGGCGGAGGGGTGGCCGCGCATGCGCGGAAGGGAGGGCGCAGCCTGCACGTGCCCGCACTCGGCGCGTCCGGGGATTGTTCGAAACAGAAAAGAAACAAAACGAAGAAAACAAAGAAAAAAAAAACCGAAATGCCCGCGGCACGGATTAATTTCCAGCGCTGTTCGGGGTGCGTAACACAGCCACGGTGGTGTGGCACCCAGGGGCTGCTGCTGCCCCATAAAAAATACCTGTAACCCCCCCGAATTCCCTCGGGGCACCGGCAGTGTGGGAACAAGCTCCCGGCACTTTGTGTAAGGGGTTGTCACGCCCAGAAAGCTCATTCCACACACAAGCTTCCATGTGCCAGGGCTGACAGGCATTGGGGAGCATCATCCCCTTGCAGTCTCCTCTTCCATCCACCTCATCCTGGTGCAAACCTCCCTTGCTTGGAATAACAGAAGCACTTGGTTAAATGTCCTGTGCAGGTCACAACCTGGCACAAACAAGCTGTATTTTGTCATACTTGGTGCTTTTATGTTACAGCACATTGAGGTAACAGTCAACATGGTCCAACTTTCACATAATTTTAGGATATAAAAGACTTGAGTACAATGTATTTCCACTGGATGGCGTTACGGAGGAGAAAGCTACCCTGGTGTACATGAAAAACCTCATCTCCCTGCCAGCAATCCTCACAGAAGGGGGCTGTGTTTTATGTCCCAGGATTGGGCTTAATCCAGCCCAAATGTTCCATCCTAAAATTAACTAAGCAATGTGGAAGTGTGTGGTCATGACTCCCAAAGAACAGAGGAGGGACAGGTGCTGGGGACAAGCAGGAGACACAAGCCAAGGCATCAGCACGTGCTGAGGACTGGGAAGAGCTGCCAATGCCCAGGGTAACAACTGCTGCAATGGCTTTGGGATGGGAGGTCACCCAGAATGACAGGTGACATTGCCCCTGCAGCCACGCCAGCTGAGTCCCACAAACATTAGGTGACTGAAAACAAAGTCACTGAAATCCAATGAATGGCAACGCACTCAAAAAACCTAAGAATTGGTTCATCATCTCAATGCCCCACCATCAGGGGTGAGACAGAAGAGGAGGCTTTTCTGGTTTTATGGCAAAAGATCCTTCTCCCAGGAGATACTTTGGCTTGTGACATCTGTGTGAGGCTCCTCTGCGCTGCTCCCCCTGTGTGTGACAGGGACAGTGGCTGTCACTACTCCCGTGTCAGTGCACCACCACCCAGGGAGGCCTCTACACAGGGAACTTAAATCTAACCTCGATAAATAAAACCAAATGTTTATTTACACCAAAGAATTCCAACACTGGATCTTTCACATATGAAGGACAAAGTATATATACACAGCAAGGGGTAGCAGGGCTGTAACAAGGGTGCTTTTTCCGTTGTCAATGATAATATTTGTCCACAATTACTGATCTACCATTTCAGTTTAAGTTAACGTCTGCTTGCTCCTTCCTCTCAGTGCATATTTACAAGACTGTGAGGTAACTGGTATTCTCACCACATGGCACGTGAGGGAGGGGATGGTGGGTGAAGATGTGGGACCGGACTTGGCGCAGTCTGATTTTTTTTTTTTTTTCAGCTTTAAGTAGCCACCAGCTCGAAACCTATAGAAACAATTTAAAAACAATATACCCAATAACAAACTAATTCCAGAGATCCAACCCAAGCAACGGCAGGAAGAACCCTCCTGTGAGAAAGGGGCTGATCAGAGCAGGGCTTTACTCTACAGGAGCACCTGTCTCGGGAGGTGGCAAGGACTCCAATTGGATCAGTAACCTCATTTTTAAGACTAAAATTACATGCAAGGGGTGAGTTGGCATTCTGGTTGGCTCCTAAGGAGACATTATCCAATCCAATTAGGGTTTTGGACATTATCTGCACTTATTCCTTTTAAGCTTATCCCACCTCTCCTTACTGGAATTGTCTCCTCAGTGTACCCTGGCTGGGACATATGCAGGACATGGGGTTAAAGTGAGTGGTACTTTAAGAATCCCCCTCCCCTGCCTCACGAAGACTTGGTTTGGTAGTCTCTGGAGAAGAGCACAATCCCTCAAGGTGTAGGCTCGTGGAGGAATAATGGTGGGAACGTGAAGAGAAGAGATTTCCAGCAGGATGCAAGAGCTTGGAAATGCTGTTGATTCATTTGTTATTAAATGAAGAGTACTTTTTTCTTTTTTTTTGGGGGGGGGGATGGGGGGGGAAAGAAAAACTGTCCAAGAAATATTCCATCTGTAGGTATTTTCAGGGAATCCCCTGAGTTACGAAAAGTTCAAGTAAAAAAAGAAAAATCAGCCTATAATAATTTTGTATATAATGACTGAACTACTATAAATCCACAAGCAACAGTTCAGACACGGTGTCTCCAAAGCGTTCATCCCCTCCCTTCCCCTGCCAGGCACGAGCTGCGTCCTGAGGAGAGGTGGAGGGGGAAACCTCTTCCCCACCTGACTCAGCTCAGGCAGCAGGAGACAGAGCCCGTCACTACTGCTGGGCGCCTGCAGCAGCTGGAACCGGCATCCCCAGGGTGGTGGTGGCAGAGATGACGGGTGAGCCTGCTAGAGGTCCAAGGGGTGAAGGTGTTGGCACTGAAGAAATCCCTGGAAGAGAGACAGGGGAGCAGGAATTAGAGTGAAAGCAGCGCGTCGCCACCCAGGACAGCTCAGCTTCTGAAATCAAGTGGCAGCTTTGCAGGTCAGTTATGTTTTCAGAGCTGAGATTAAAGGTCTGTCTCAGTTCTCTGTGGCCTCTGAGAAGGGCTGACTGAAGAGTCACTGATGGGCAGAACAGTGGCAGGATCCCAGAATGGTTTGGGTTGGAAGTAACCTTCGAGCTCATCTTGTGTCAATCCCCTGTCATGGGCAGGGACACACAAGGTTGCTCCAAGCCCCATCCAATCTGGCCTTGAACACTTCTGAGGGATGGGACAGCCACAGCTTCTCTGGGCAGCCTGTTCCAGTGCACTGTCCTTCAAACTGCTGCCAGAAAATCCAACTGCAAAGCACTTTTTAAAACGAGACCAGAAAAGCAGGTCAGGCTGCCCGAGGCCTTATTTATCTTGTTCTCCCACCCACTTCTTTGCAGCCTTCCTTGCCCTTGTCTCCGGTCCCAGGGGATGACCCGATGCCCCACCTGCAGAACTCACCCTCCTGGATCCTCACACCCACCCAGCACACACAAATGCTTCTTTACCACACCAGTCACCAAGAAGAGCTGAGAGCAGGACTGACCTGACATCATGCTCGCACTGCTGACAGGAGTGCTGCCACCCGGCATGTTGGACGAGCCCATCCGAGCCTGGTCTTTCACAATGGGATCTAGGAAGAGCACACTACCCTTAGGTGCTGTGTTGCCAAAGAGCTGCTGAGGTACACAGACTGCCCGTGGCCTCTGTGCTCAGCCAGTCCTGGCACATCAACCACCATCTACCAGAACTCAGAAAGTTTTACACCATTTCCAGTGGGAAGCACTCAGAAGGTACCAAGGTCGTGTCACATCAGGGAAAGCCACCTAAATGTGATTTGGGGGTCAGCAGGACTGCTTGACAGGAAAACCTGAAGGGAATTAAGATGAAGTTTGATGTGTTTTCTGTGCTAAGCAACTGTGTAATTGCAGAAAGCAAACCCCAGATCATGGGTGTAGCAAGCAGATAGATTATCACTAATTACAATCATGTGTCACGTCTCTATACACATCCCACAGCGGCCTGTGAGCTGTCAGGAGTGTCACTGGAGCTTGTTGTCTTCTGTGAGATGATCCCAACTTACCAACTTTTTACTTTTCATGCTCTCACCTGAACAGGGACAACCCCTTCCTGCCTCCCAGGTTTCCTGTGTCAGACAAGGGAATCCCAAATTTTGCCTTTCCTCATGCTGAGCTCAGCACTACCTGTATCTCTATGTGGACACAAAATTGCCTGTTCGTTCAACTCTCACATTCCAAGTTTTTGGCTTTACTAATGCTCATACCTGCAAAACATTTCACTGGAATATTTCCTGCAGGTGTAGCACAGATCTGCAGTTTGTTAATTACAGGGGTTCTTTTAGCAGCGAGAAAAAAATCCCACATCTGAGCAAATGCTGACATTTTGCATTGTTGCAGCTGTTTCAAACCCCTAAATATCAATATTTGTGAAAACCAGCAAACATTTAGAAACATTTACCAGTGAAAGTTACATTTTTGCTTGCAAACCCAAGACCGGAATATACCAGTGGCTAAACAATTTAACAACAAAAGGAGTTAAAAGGCCTGTTTCTCAACAAACCAGACATCTCTGGGTTTATCAAACCATTGGAATCCATGGACACCTGCTGAAAGCAGCTACAAATCACATCATTTAGGTGACCTTCCCTGATATCACCTGATGATTCATGGGCTCAACACAGGTATCCAACACTGGTTCCTTGGCTGGTGTAGGTGGCAGTGGCCTATTTTACCCACCCCAGAGACCAGCAGCCTCAGCTCCAGAGCAGAGACCAGGCTTATTATTGTTGCTGTTCTCAGTTCCCATCTGCACAAGCCGTGGGAACAGAGACTTCCCAGGGGCAGATCTCTCAGGGCAGCAGCTGATACTCACAGAAGTAGGGGTGTTCCATGGCTTCTCTCGCTGTGAGTCGTGACTGGTGATCGTATCGCAACAGCTTGTCTAAGAAATCCAGAGCTTCTGGACTCACCAGATGTTGGTTCTCGCTGTGAACAAAGCGCTCCCATCGCTTACGGGAGTGTCTGTGGGAAAAGAGACCCAAATCAGGCCGGGCAGGGGACAGCCATGCCAAAATTCACTCTTTTAAGGAGCAGGAACTGTGACAGATGACCATCCCCGACAGGGCTGGTGCAGCAGCCGCAGGGCTGAGGCGTTCTGGAACATGAAGCAGCAGTGCACTGTGTCTCCACGTGGTGGCAGAGCTGCCGTGGCCCCAGCACACTCACTGTGGCCACCACAGCCCAGATACAACCACCACAGCCCTCGGCACAGCCAAAGTGGCCACCACAGACCCTGCACAGCAGCAGGATTCATTCAGAATGGATTACAGGCCTAAAATTCCAGGTTCTGCTCTTCTCTTATGCCCCCAACATTGGTTCCTTTAGTTTTAGTATCACACAAAATAACTCTATGAAGGGAAAAAGAACATGTAAATGCCACCTGAAGCAGCACCTGATTTTCCGTGCTGTAATGCTGAGAAACAGCACTGTTTGTTCCCCCCAGACTGTAGAGCATTTGCCCTTCACGCTTTCTGCTCCACCAGTTCCTTTATTGCCTGGATGACATTTAAAAATCTTTCCTCAGGTCCATTTCCATATAAAGGACTATGAGAAGCACTGGCTAAAGGGACCAAAGGCACAAAGTGACAGTTCTCCAGAATTCTGGCTCTGGGTTCTCCCCTAAGTTTTTGTTTGCTTCAAGGTCTGTTGACAAAGCTGTAACTGTGTCCAGATCTACCAAAGAGACTCCAGACATTGGCTCACCTGCCCAAGATGTCATTGAAACGTGGATCCAGCTCAATGTTGTATTTGTCAATGTAGTCATACAGATCTTCTGTCCCCAGCACCTTGGCTATCCTCACCAGCTGGGAACAAACAGAAAAATAAGTCACTACTGTGAGGGGATGATAATGCTGGAGCCCACGTGAAGATACAGCAGCACATTCCCTTGGAAGCTTGAACCTGGTCTCAGTGGTCTGAACCAGCAGCCACAGGGTCATCCTGTGGCTCTGGCTTCCCCAGCCACACACAGTCCCCAGCATCAGGAATGTGCCTCCACTCACAGCCAGAGCTCAGTACCCCAAGGCAGCCAGGAGGGAGCCACATACACTAAAATCTCCAAAACCCGAGACTTTGCAATGCTAACTCCCTTTGTAGCAAGAAAACATTCAAAACCAAGAGAGGAGAAGGCAAGAATAACTGGTCAAAAAAGCAGAAACTCTGGCTCTTGCATATGAAGGGTGAAGCACCACCCCAGAGAGCTCCAGAATGGAGGTTTGAGAATAAAAGGTCTCTGTTCTGGAATATTTGCATGTTAGTCACATGCAGAGCATGTGGTAAAGGTTTAAGTATAAATATTCTGGCTTACAGGCAACACATCAAGGATTTCAGAATCTTGATTATAAACCTGCACCAAATTCAGTTTCTATACAGAGAGGGGGGAAGGTGGATAGTGGCAAGGGCTTTCCACATAACCTCAGGAATAGTCAATCTGTGTACCAGAACACACCAGCTGTAATGTAACTATTGTTACAGCTTTTCCCAGACACCTACTGAGGAGCCCCTAAGCACAAAGCTCTATAAATCCATTTCCATTTAATTGGTTACATAATCTTGCACACTTGAGAAAAGGAATGTGGCTTCAAACTGAGCAAAGAAGCCATTAGAGAAATGCTTAAATCCTTCTCCAGATCACTCGACAGAAGCCTAAGCAGGAAATCTTCATGGTGCTAAGAGAACAGAGATTGTACATGACCAGCTCTCACCTGATCATAGTTGTCATGGCCATGGAAAAATGGTTCCTTTCGGAATATCATACTAGCCAACATGCAACCCAAGCTCCACATATCCAGACTGTAATCATACATCTGTACAAAACCAGAAGGACAATTCAATTTCTAATGAATCAAGCAGAACAGACTTCCAAAACTAACAGGGTCCCCCCCTCCCTCCAGTGATACAAACGTGGCCACATTATGCTGGAAACAGACTGAACTATCTTCATGTATCTTGATCCCTAAACACTGTTTGGCTCAGTGTTCCAGTTACTCAAACTGGGATACAGCAATTAGCAGGACAGCAGGTATCCTAGTTCCATCCCTGTCCACCAGGATATTAAAGACCAGTGCCTTTTTCTGTTTTCACTGCAGGCTCCAATGTTATGGACCATCAAGAAGTGTGTGTAGGGAAGGTAGGGATCACAACAAGCAACAAAAGGCGTGGCCTCCCCAAGGTCCACAGGCAGGTGAGGATGTGCCTTTTTTCATAACCAGTACAGTCTGAAAGTCACCAGGAACACTGTGATTTCCATAATGCAATCTGCCATCAGATATGGGGATGCTTTTATAGCTTAATTTAGAAGTTCATGCAGTACTCAGTGTTCCCACAGGGGCTTTGTTTCATTCCTGTACCTTACTGCAAACACAGCCTTGCTAAAAAATATTCAGCATTTGTATTCCAAGATCCATGATGATAGTTCTGCAGCTCTTCCTCAGGTCCTCAGACTACCCATTAGTTTCTTTAACTCAGAATTTCTTTAATTTTATGGCTGCTTTCTGCCACACATTTTGGAACAGACTTTAGCTTCAACTCTCTAGAGTTGAATCTTTAGGTTTGTTACCTTGAAATGGCACAGACTTTCCATACAAAAGTCAGTGAGAAGTCCTGGTAATTCTTACCTGATAATCTACAAGGAGTTCAGGTCCTTTGAAATATCTGGAAGCCACTCTGACATTGTACTCTTGGCCAGGGTGATAGAATTCAGCCAAACCCCAGTCTATTAGTCTAAGCTAGAAATGGTAGAAAACAAAGAAAAGAGGCTCAAGGGGTGCTCCAGCTCTCCAGTGGCTGAATAACACTGCAGGTGAGCTTAGTCTGAAGTTAATTTACAAGTCTCCTATTTTCAATTCATTTGATCAGAGTATCTGGTTATGTTTTCTCCCCAAACCCGTATCACCAACCCGTCTAAATAAAATACCTCTCCTTGCAACCCTGTCTGTACATGTGACCCCATAAAAGCTTCAAAAAGCAGCATACAGAATCTCATTTTACAGTTCTCCACACAAGGGGAAGCGCAGTGCCCTTTGAAGGGGTCTGCTAATACCACTACATAGGAGTACCCAAAAGGGATCCCAGTTTGCCAAAAGCAGGACCCTCCCCCCTGCCCCCCAGCCACCCCACACTACCTTTCTGTGCTCATGGTCAATCATGACGTTGTGAGGTTTGACATCTCTGTGCATGATTCCCATGCTATGGCAGTAATCTAGAGCCTGCAGGGGACAAAGAAACAGACACTGGAGTCACAAGGACCTCTCGAGTTCAACCACATTCGGCAGTATTTGCACATACAGCAAGTGTAATTAGACTGTCCAGTGTTACATCCTGGACTAGACTCACTGATCACAGAGCCCCCTTTCAAAGGGAGGTCCCAGCAACACAAGTGTCCTGACTTCACTTCATGTGCTTCCTCCTAAAATCTGGAATTTCAGAGTCCCTAAGAGCATAGTTACTAGGCACTATCAATCAAACAAGGCCCCCTTTTCCAGACTCCTAAGGAAAAAATTACTTGTTTCAGAAGAATGGACAAAGACATTTGACTCGCATTACATTAGAGCACAAACCCAGCCAGCAACAGCTTACAGTTGTCTGTTTTCAGAGGTTACATGTACTTCTGATTCAGGACCTTAAGCTATCTCAGTGTACTGAAAGGCTCTGCTAGCCTCAAAAAAAAAAAAGGCAAAAAAAAAGCCTAGCATTTGTTGCAGAAACAAGGCTGAAAAAAAATCAATACTGAGTTGACATTTTTCTGCCCCATTCTTTCATAGGCTTTCTCTTCCCTTCCCTTGGTGATAGGTCACTATGATCAGTGACATGAGAACCATCTCTACAGGATTAGCTGAGATCAAATCCTAGAAATAAACTGCCAAAACAGCAAAACACCAACTTACCTTCAAAATCTCATACATGTAGAATCGAATATCATAATCTGTTAATGTCTGGTATAATTGCTGTGGGACACAAACACATCATATCAGTGTTCAACACCCAAAAAACCCCATCACATCCCTGCCAATCCAGAACAACCCAGCCCTGTCCTGGGCTGCTGTGGTTCTCCAAACCCATCTGAAGGATTAGTCCAAGTTTCCCAAGTTGCTCTGATCCCACACCCAACTCTGATCAATCTGTTTCTCTCCCCTTACAAATCCCACACATAGTTTACTCCCAGCTCTGCTCAGACAGCACATTCTGGTCCCTGTCACTGGCTACCTCCAGTTTCACCTGCCCAGCACCAGCACAGGCCGTGCCTGCACTCTGGGTCACAAGAAGACTGAGGGTGCTCTACAACATTAAATAGTTATTCCTAATGGCACTGCACTGCCTTTCTTCTCCTGAGGTGGGTCAGTAGGAAGGGGACAAAGAAACATTTAAATCCCTACTCCCAGAAGTATGAAAGGCCACAGAAACAGCAAAGAAACATTTAAATCCCTATTCCCAGGAGTATGAAAGGCCACAGAAACAGCTGTTCAGATTTAAAGTGGTTTCAATAAAGAGTTGTACACATAAAAGCAAAATGCTTCCATAAGACAGGCACTGATGGGCCACACAGTAACAGATTCATGTGCTCCCCAGTTTAAATACCACTTGGAATCTGAATTCTCACCTTTTAACTTCTGTGGCAAAATGGTACTGAAGGATTAATTACAAACTTCTATCCCAACTGTATTTACCTTCAAGCACAGTTCCTATGCTGGAAGGAAATGATTAAATAGCCTGCCTGACCTGTGTATTTGACTTTCCCCTCAAAAAACAGAACGAGTGGCTTTCAAACAGAAAAAAAAATGAGAAGTTCACATCCCACACTGTACCTTAAAGTCTGTGTTGTTTACATGTTCAAAAACCAAAGCGGGTGTCCGAGACTAAAACAGAAAGAAAAGCGTTCAGCCATGGTAAGTTGAGATAATATGTTTCCATTTAGGATCATTAATTAAACAATTTTTTTCTCCTAAAACTGCACAAAACCCCTCTGCCTCAGATATATTTATGATTCTCCTCAGACAGAGAAAGCAGAGCCAAAGCCCACAGCCCCTGGCAGCACTGTTTGCAGAATGAATTAACTTCTCTCAGCTCGCTGGTATCTCTTCCTCACAGAGTGAGGAGCTGAAGGGACCTGTGGGGGAAGGGCCCTCTAAAAGAAGTTTATCAGATGAAGAGCTGATCTTATTAGTCAATTCAAAAGCAGGATTTAAGAGCAGGGATAAACAAAAACCCGGATCAGAGCTGAAGTCAAACACAGCAACTTCACCCATAACCCCCAGAGTAGCCTTTCAGTTGCTCCCATACTCACCACAGGATCTTTTACTATATCTGCAAGGGTGATTATATTGGGCCCGCCTCGCAAGTTCTCTAAGATCTTGATTTCACGCTTGATTTTCTTCTTTTTAACAGGCTGAAGAATAAAAAACCCAAAGTGTAAGATAAAGCACTGCAGTAAAGTGAGGCTAATAGCTCAACACCCAGATGACTGCAGATCAGCAAAATACATCAGAGCCTTTGTAATATAACCTGAGTATGCATCACTCCAAGAAGGGCTCAAATATCTGCTGTCTCCTTTCTAACCATACAACCCTGACAGCTACAGACACCAGTTTCACGTGAAGGAAAGGCAGGAAGATTTTTTTTTTTTAAAGCTCTCTGAACATGATCTGATAGGACAAGAGAGAGGACGAGAGGAAACAGCCTCAAGTTCTGCCAGGGGAGGTTTAGGCTGGATATCAGGAAAGATTTCTGCATGGAAAAGGTTGTCAAGCCCTGGAACAGGCTGCTCCAGTGGAGGTATTTAAAAGACACATACATGTGGCACTGGGGGACACGGTTTAGTAGTGGGCTTGGCAGTGCTGGGTCAATGGTTGTACTCGATGATCTTAGACGGCTTTTCCAACTTGAACAGTTCTGTGATTCTATGATATTCCAAGAATTCTTAACTGGCATGTGGCAAATATTTAACTATGAGAAGTCCACGGGCTACTGGGAGGGTCACTGAAAGAAGGCCAGCCCACGACAGCATGCCAGGGCACCGGCACCCAGAGAAGGTGAGAATTTTGCAGTCAGCTGTTGAAGCGTTGCTTAGCTCTAGGTAAAAACGTGCTGCACGTGAGGGCTTCTTTAAGACAGAGCCTAATTCCTTACAGGCAGAGATCTGACTTAATAACCAAGTGCATCTGGAGGCTCAAAATGATGGCCTGTTTCACTGAATGACACTCCAAAGCCAGGCTTTAAGGATTTCAGTTTTAGAACATCAAACAGGCCTTTCTGGCCTCCTGATCACCTCAAGACAGATTTTATCTGTTGCCCAATCCCCAGCTCACCTTGAGAATTTTAACAACTACTTTTTCATTATTTGTAATGTTGATGGCTTCAAATACTTCACTGTATTTGCCTCGGCCTAATTTTCGAACTAGCTGGTAGTCATCTTGATTTCTGTGGAGAGAAAAGGTTAAAGTTCCAAAGAGCTCAGTCATTTCCATGACAATGTACAAACTGCTCCTTAACACTTTATCACTGCCTCACTTTCCAGACAAAAGGGATTAACTGGTGTCTTCTCCTGACTAGGGTGATTAAGAATTAGGAGAGAAACAGGGAACTTCTATTTGCCCAAGTTAGATTCAATCCAAAACTATGGACCGAAAGCCCAACTATTTTTTCAGCATCAGCAAACTCGAGCTATCTCTTCTCCCAGTCTCTCTATATTTGAAAGCTACATTTTTCTTTGTATAATACTGTTAAAAATCAACAAAGGCAGTGACAGCAAAAACTTAAATGCTAGCCTGTTTAAAAACAGACTAGGCACAAAGAAGCACTTATGCTCAGACGACTGCGTACATTCCAGAAACTGGGAACTGCAGCACAGCTGAGGGCTGAACTCTGCCTGGGCCCTCCACATCCCAGCAGGAATGCAGAGCTATGAAGCTGCCACCACTGCTGTCTGATTCTGGGAGGGTTCAGTCATGAGCTCAATTTAGACACCTCCCTCCTTCAAAGAGAAGCAGCCGTGTCTTTTCCAGTCACTGGTAGAGAGCAACAAGTCACAAAATAGCATGTACCTATTTAAGTCTGCAGAGTCTCTTCACTCATCCAAGCCAGAAGCAACTTCAGTTTGAAAGACTTTTCACTTCTTTTCAGCCCTGTGCTCAGGGCTAGTTTGATTGTTTCAGAGGAAGACTTTCTTCCCTCTGAAAGGGGATGTTTCCTGACTACCTGGCAAAAATTCTTCAAACTTTTAATGAAGCTGCCATTCCTATGCAGCTGAGGATTTTAAAGTTTGATAAGAAACACTCCTTTGAAGAAACACCGTGATCCTAAAGCTTGACATCTGCCAAGGAGCATGGAAAAAGCCTCATGCAGCACAGGCGCCTGAACTCCCCGTGCACCCAGATCCACCCAGATCCACGGGGATTGATCCCAGGGCAGGGACATCCAGAGGCAGCCCAGAGACTTACCCCCACTCAACAACGTGCGACTCATAGTCCCAGTACTCGCGGGGTCTGTGTGTGTTCACATCCGTGTAAACCCTGGCCCTGCTCGGCACGGGTCCCGACATATCAGACAGGTTGGCAGGCGGAAATGACGAGATGTGAAATCAGAGGCGACCTGGTCTGCAACGCTGAGAGGAGGAGAAAGGCCTCGGATTCCTCCACCTGCAGAGAGAACATGAACGAGAGGTTAAATTCTCAAGGTACTATAAAAGTATTTAAGTTAATCATTAAAAGCTGCTGCGAATGAGAGGCTGGAGCCCAGCCACAGGCCTGGGATGGTTTGTCAGAGCTTGGAAGCAGTTTGTCTGTTCTCCCTCACACAAGACGGGTCACTTGGCCCCCCCTAACAAAGCCCCTTCCAATCTTGCAACTTTCAGCACGGGTTTTCCAACTTCTGGTTGCAGAGATAACTTTCCAAAAGGAAAGAAATGTCATGAATTCTGTATCTGCAGACAGACTCCTTCTTTTCAGCTCCAGAGCGAAAGCAGCAGCCACAGGCTGCAATCTCATCTCTTCCCCATCTTGTGCCACCCTATGTAACCAAACCAATTCTGCTGGGAGGGGAACCCCTTTTAGTCACGACTTTCTACAGCCAAGGCATTAAATCTGACTGTCCAAAAGACAGCAGCATCTGTGTTGGATTATGATGCTTTACTCAAACTCGAAAGAAAAATTCTGCTGCAAGAGTCTGAAAATGTTTCTTTGCATCTGCTTGTCCAAAGCATTTGGTATGCACCTCCAATTCTTCCTCCTTATAACTGGGTTTTTGCAAAGCTTCTTTTAGGTTTTATCAGTATTGAGACTAGTCAAAATCACTCAATAGAAAGTTACTGTTTGTCAAATACTCTGAATTTTTATCATCTATATCTGAACACCTTATCATCTACATCTGAATATTTAAGACAACAGTAACAACAAAACTACAGTTTTATTTCAGTATTGTCCTACCTAAAATAAATGTAGTGCCTTTGCACCTCTCAAATCTTTCACGAGTTGACACATTTTTAGGTGCTTAAGTAAAGAATCTCTTTGTCAGCTTTCAAGATAACTGACAGGGAGGGGAGCTGTCTCAGAGCATGGAAGGGCTCTGTTTGGTGTCTGGCACATGGCAGGGACCCACAGCCCTGTGTATGGGCTCGATCAGTGGGCAACACTATGACCTAAATGAATGTATTTATTTGCTGTGCCAATCTTACTCCTTCACAGAAAACAAGCAACTGACAGACTGCAGGAGGAAATAATAGCCCTATTAATCAGCAATTAATTGAGAAAAGACCTAGAAATCTGCTCGGAGCAGTTATCAGGCTATCAGGACAATGCAGACCAGAAGAAAATTCTAGAAGCAGCAAAATCCTGCTCTACTGGCAGTGTCCTGTTGTTTATTCAAGGTCTGCAGTGCTTCAGCTGCTGGGAGGACCCAGCAAGAACCACTGTCTGTGAAGACGGTGAAGGACCTGGGGGCACAGGTCTGATGTCCTTCACTGTGTCACACAACCTGACCAGCAGCTGGTCCTGCATCCAGAGGCAGAAACATCCATGAGGGCTCTCTGACGTGGACAAAGTCTCCTCAGGTGGGACAGACCTCAGCAGCTGGGTTGGTTTTTGACCTGCTGACACACCAATGGTGTTGGAGGCAGCTCCAGGTAGACAGGGTTGCAGTAATCCAGTCCCAAGGTTAAAAAGGGACATGACTGTCCCAAAGTGCACTGAGGCCTCACACCAAGAGGGTAAGGAGGGGGCACTTCAGCCTGGTGTGCAGCTAATGGAAGAATATGAAGTATTCCTAAAAATATGATGTCTATTCCCGGACAATATGTTAGTTCTCTAACAAAACACACTTTCAGAAGATGAGGCAGCAATCATCTAAGACCTCAAAGCGTTTATGTGGCATGACTCAGACACTTAGAAATTAGATGTATATTCCAAAAACGTCCTCAGGCATTACCAGAGCATGCAAGTTTACTAGAACACTCCAGTACAGTGAAATTTGTTAGATTTCAAAGTTCAATCACGGTGGTTTTGTTTCTCCTCATTCCATGTGCTTCTGGCAGAAGATGCACTGGCTCATTTCCTCTCCCAATATTCCTCGTGTAGGAATTAACTGAATCTATACATGACTTAGCAATTTTAATTTTTAAGCACAACCCAGTATCAATAAAGCACATGTGACTGCTCCAGCTCACCCAGCTGAGCAAGATCAGTTTCAGAAAGGAAAAAAAAAAAAAAGAGAATAAAAAAGAAAGAAAAATCAATCACATTATCTAAAGATAGATCAAATTTCACAGTGGCTATTTTTTGTCACGTAGCTCTAGCCTAGCTCAAGCAGCACATTGTAACTGGCTGCTCAGAGAAGGGCTTTTTCAGGAAATCATTGACTGTAGCTTCTAAGAATGGCACACAATGTCTATTTACGAGGGTAGGTATTATTGTGTGCTGTTCTTTATACAGGAAGGGGAGAAAGTCTGCACAGATAATTTAATTTTGAAGCAAACAAAGTTACAGACATATAAACTTACCCTGCCTGAAAGCTGCTCACTCACTCTGCTCAAAACTGCCAAGGAATTCGTATAGATTTTTCTTCCACTGCCCCTGGAGGGGGATCATTTTGCAGTGGATCCAAGTTCCTTGGCAGAAGGGAATGACACAAATAAGGACGGATAATGGGGACAGGTGTTGACATGCAAACATCAGTTGAGCTTCCAGTTTTTCAGGCAGAAAATCTAAGTATGAGCAGCGATTGCACCTAGAGAACTGTCTTGAGCTTGTTACAAAAGATGAGTTCTATTTCTGCAGAACTCAAACAGAATGTTGTCATTTATTAATTCCTGCATTAATGACAGAATCGTAGAATAATTTATATTGAAAAGTCTGCTAAACATCATCTAGTCAAAGCAGATGAGATTAGATCAGGCTGCCATGTCCAATGCAGTCCTGAGCATCTAGAAAAACACACAGTGTAAAAATTTTAATTTCTCTGGTAGAGAAGTGTTTAACTAGGAAACACAACCATGAGCTTTCAGAAAACACACCAGAGGTCACAGAGAGAGGAAGACAAAGCTCCCAGCTACAGTCTGACACGCTTTTCACTGCAAAGGCTTCCCTGTGCAAGGACACAGAGCAGTAGTCTGCTGCCTGAGCAGCTTGGCAAGATTAGATATTTTGGGCCAAAGTTCAACAAAAGGGTAAAAAGCCTCTCAATGCTCACTTTAAATCTGATTTTTAAATCATTTTAACTTAAATCACAGTTACAAACTCCCTCATTTTTAAAAAGGGATGCTATCATCCTTAAAATGCACTCTAATTCCAAGGGCAACCCCTGCCCCCATGAGGGATTTGATATCTTGTGAAGGATCCATACTTCCAGCACCTATTCCGATTAGCACAGGAATTTCCTACACCCTCTGTCCTTCCAGACATATCCACTTACAGCAAGTAGCAACAAAACACAGCTAAGAAATCCATGCAGATTAGTTTGAGAAGCACACCTACTTAGCCTCTAGTAAAATTTGCCTTTTTTTTTAAGTCAAGAATAACTGAGATACTGGAATATCTTTTTCCTCCTTTTCAATGGAAATGTTTTTGGCACCGAGCTTCTCTCAAGCTGAGAACCTTAAACCTAAGAAGTTGCACCAGTATGACACAGCACTCCCACAGGCTCCCAGTGAGCTGGAAGCCAAGAGCTTCCCAGAAGACTGGTGTCCCAAGGACCCTGCAAGTGCTATCCAAGTGATGACCTTTGTGGATAAGGTTTGGAGTATAAATAATGCACCCAGGAACACAAGCACCGCTTGACACGGGCTTTCCTGCTGCTCACAGCATGACCTGCCCTCCATGTGAACAGTGTATTGCCAGGAAGATCCAAGTTCATCCAGATAGAGAGGAGTGAACCCAGCAAATCACGTCCAACACCACAGAAACCTGGTTTTATTAGCAAGGATCCACCTGAACTTGATTTCAGTGAGCCCATAGCAAGCCCAGAGGAGCAGGACAGGACCTGAATTGTCCCAAGATGACCTCAAAGTGCCAAGAAAACATTCCCATCACTTTATCAGTTCCAGACAGACTGTCCCAGAGAAGTTCACCTTCCTCTCGAGGAGAAAAGCGAGATGGACAGATTGGCCAAACAGGTCTAAGACCTCGCTCTCACTTGTACTTTCCCCACGTAAGCTCATTACAGTGGCGACTGTGCCAGACTAAGACTGTAAACAGGCTGAGACAGCAGCAGGTTTGTTGTGAAAGAAGAAAAGCTCTGTCAGTGCAGAAGAGCAGAATTACAGAATCAAAAGGTTATTCCTTTCTTTTATCTACAACTGCAAGCAAGATGTTTACCTTTCATGGCAAATGGCTTAAACCCAGCCTCTGAAATCACAAGTGTGTAACGTGATTTATTAGGGTGAGGAAGCATTACAATGATCAGATAAAACTGCTGATGATTTCCTCCACATAGCCCACGTAGCCCTGTAATCCTCCCAAGGAAGAGCACTTGCTCCTTCAGAGTTTGGAGAACATCTACTACTGGAGAGACACCACTGAAATTAAAAGATCAAGACATGCCTAAATACTACAGAGTACAGCCTGGTGGCAGCCAACATCTATCAGCACCCAGATTACCTCTGAAAGAAGAAATAATAATAATCAACTTAATAAAAAACATGCTTTACCTCACAAAAGACCCCGATATATGTGTTTTCATGATGCTGAAACTGCAGCAATACAAGCATGGAAGAGATGACCTCCAGAAGTCCCTTGCAACCTATATTTTTCTATGATTTTATAGCTAAAATAGAAACAAGCCTGGATTAACAAAGCTGACACTACATCCTTTCCTGAAGATCATTCACCTACTAAAGGGACATCATCAACAGAAGCACAGATTTTAAATCTGAGTCAAAAGTAAAAGCTAAGGTTTGAAATTGAACTTTTCCCTGGATGTTGTTTTGGAACAGCACAGTCTACTCTAACTGCATTTTCCACCAAAGTTATTTTGCAGATTTCTTTTAAATAGCTGGTTGTGAGGAATAACAAATCATGATATCCAAAGACCTCAACATTCCCTTAAAAAAAGAAACATGAACAGTCATGATTAATTCAAAACAAGACATGGCCAGTCACTAGGGAAAGCGGTTGACAGGCTTAGTTATACTGGAAGAAACATCTTGGAG